TCAAGGAAGGCACTGTCAGTTGGATAGTCCACCAAAAATTGAAAATTCTGTCATCATTTTACTCACCCTCATGCCGTTCCAAATCTGTACACATTTCTTTCTTCTGTGGAGCACAAAAGATATTTTGAAGAATACTGCCAAACAATCCAATGATGGCTAAATTATTTGTTAACTGCCACATGAGCGTGCATTATCAAGGCACTGTCAGTTGGATAGTCCACCAAAAATTGAAAATTCTGTCATCATTTTACTCACCCTCATGCCGTTCCAAATCTGTACACATTTCTTTCTTCTGTGGAGCACAAAAGATATTTTGAAGAATACTTGTAGCCAAACAATTTCAGGTCTAGAGAAGTCAATGAGACCCAAAACCATGCGGTTACCAACATTTTTCAAAATAATTCAAAATTATTTTATATTCCACAGCAGAAAGAAAGTGATACAGAGGTTGGAGCAACATGAGAAGTAAATGATGACAGTATTTTCCTTCAGTTTTTGGGTGTAGTATCACTTCAAGTTAGTGGAAAATGGCAGCTGACAATCCTTAGCAGGGCAGTTTCTGACTTTTCCACATTGCACCTCAAAGATCTGGAGACAAGCCAGGACAAGGTTTATGGGAATTCCCTGGTATGGGGGAGCCCTCCTGCAGGTGGAAGAAAATTACCTGGCTAAGTAGGACCAGATATGGGAACGTGTATCTCCCGAGTGCTGTTCAAAGATATCCATCCGTTGTAAAACTATGATACCCCATATTATATCAAACCTGAGTGAAGTGAAAGCATCCCGAGGTTACGGCTAATAGAATGACTGATAACGTGGTTTCAGTAGCGTGGACTTAACATCACTCCCTACTCCCAGCTGTAATAGCTTAATTTGTCACCCTGACACACATGCAAACACACATGTGCGCACACACACACACTCGGCTCAAACACCTCATTAATGCCCAGCAGCCCATTATCTGAGGAGGAGGGGATGAACGCTTAAATTCAGTGCAGACAATTTGAATATGTAATGGGCTAAAGATATAATCACTAAATCTAATTCGACAATTAGAACGGATTCCACTGTTACACACTTGACACAACTACGCTACTCCAATTTTAAAAGGGAAAGAAAATTCGTTAGATCAGATATTGCTTGACTACATGTGACAGCATTTTGCATACTATAATTGTGGAATTTGTGGGGGTCGAACGATGCTTCAGGAGACACGGCGGCTATGGTTATCCCCCTCCTTGTCGCAGGTCTTTCATGTCTGCACTGAGACAACAGGCATAGAGACACAAGAGGCTCCCTTGGGTTAACCAACACCCCCACCTCTTCCCAGAGCTCTTGACAAAGCCTTTCCAGTCGTCAGTCTGACCCAGTAACCTGGTGAGCAGTTCAGGGGTGTTGAGTAGCCTCTCCCGGGCTTCCGACCGCAAGCACAGTCTACCGTTTATGTCCGGAGCAAGTCCCTTTCCTGTCCCGCTTCTGGATATGTTTTAGACGGGGCTGATTGTGGCAAGCAGGCGCTGATGGGGAGGTGTGCTACGGCTGAATGTGCTAATCCGGTTAGACACAGGCATCTTTCTTTACAGCCGTTTCACTGGAATGCACCCCCTACCAAAAACCCACCTAGGTCGTACAGTGTGACCGCACGCCACTGCCAATTTTACTAGCTGTAAATAACAACACTCTCATAAAAACCAAACCACTGGCCTGCAAATGTTACGAAACCCAGGAATCGTATCCAAACGATGACACTTTCCTAATTTACGACTCATAATTGTGCTTATGAACATGCGTGCTCCTATAATTATATAAATGCTCCCAATCTAGTCGGGCAGGCCCTAAGGGTGGCGTCACTGCAGGCTACAGTTCCTTCTCCATTTCAGGCAATGGTTTAGGAGCTCATGAAATATTGAGGGAGTATGCAGGCGGCTGAGGGGTGCCGTGAGTTTTTTGCTGCACGACTCGACAATCAGGTCTAATTAAAGCATTGCAATTTTTAGGCATCAGGAGGGGTGAGGAAAAACGCATTCATCTTACCCCCTGGTTCCCCTTGAAGCAAATTGCCGGCTGATTTGGTAAGGACCCCTGGGGACAGAAGAAAAAAGGTAGTAGAGGTTGGTTAGCATCTACTATTATTATATAAAGGATTAGAAACCAAAGATGAAATCTTGGAAATTAATGATCTCCAGCTGAATTTCTAAGCTGGAACCCTCATAATGCATTTAGGTCCTTTATGACCCGAAACACATACATCATTTAAACAGAGGGTGCGTGGGTAGTCCGTTGATTCGTCCTCCCGATCCACCCACTGCTGCTCACTGGCGAGAGAGGAGGAAACACATACATCATTTAATTTTTTTTTTTTTTTTAGTATGAGAACCAAACTTGCAACATGCACCACTACCATCAATTCATATAAGATGCTAAATTTTCCAAACATATGTATGTATATATATATATATATATATATTAATGAATAAAAAGGCGGTAACGCAGTAATTACATGGTAATAACATAGTAATATTCAGTAATACAACATTTTTGTGCATTCACTGATTAATGGGAAGTTACTGATCCAGTACAATATGGTTTAAGTTATGAATGTTTTATAAGCTCACATTCCACCAAGACGTATGCAGATTTTGAATGCATTATGAGGGTTAACAAAAACAATGCAAATGTTTTGTACCAGCCGTACATTGAAGTAAGGTAAAACTGAAAATTCTGTCATCATTTACTCTACCTGTGTGACTTTCTTCTATGAAACAAAAAATGACACATTTTGAAGAAACGTTTTTGTCCATATAATAAAAGTCAATGGAGCCCAAATCAACACAATTAACTTTCTTTGTATGGCCAAAAAACATTTTTCCAATGTGCTTGCTCCACAGAAGAAAGTATGTCATACAATCATTTTCTTAACTGTTTACCCACAATGCCAGCATTTCCACAACCCCTGTTTAGGTACTAACTTCAGTGAAATATCATGCCTACCTATTAGCCTCCCTTCACAGTAATTACAGTCTCCTCTTACTTTCTTGCCCCCATTGACAGAGGCACAGTTCTCTCCTGTATTAATTCATGCAGACTGCGAGTGAGGGGGGTGGTTTCTGAGAGAATGAAAGGCTGGCTGACACTGGCCTCTCGGCAGTGTCATGGTTCTGCTTTTGCGAGCCTAAAGATCAAGGCCGGGCTTTGCTAATCTGCACTGGAATGTGTCCGATTAATAAATCTCGACTTGAAAGACCTTACATGAGTCAAATCAAATGTTATTGTGTGAGGCGTGGCTGAGTGTGAGGATGTTGAGTGTGTGAAGACTTGTAGAAGAAGTGGGGGTAGGACAGGGCAAACATCATGGGAAAAGCTTTTAGCCACCAAATGTTGAATTGGGTTCTTAGCACTAATTAGGACTAAAGGTAAGTTACAAAAAGCATTTCATCTTTTTTCTGAAGGTGCATCAGACGAAATCAAGCAAGCCTGGACATTATCTACCCTGTGGTTTTTTGTCCACCACATAAAGTGTGTACAAATAGGCCTTTTATATAACCATCTCCTGCTTAGCTTTTAAAACTCAGCTCGGTACAACGTCCAGGAGCATTAACGACATATATACAAAACAGACTCATTCGCATCACTAACATAAATTGCTGAGAAACAATGAAGGAAAAAAAACTGAGGCTTCCCCCAGCATAGCTCGAAACCATTAAGCAAGGTCAAAAGATAGCACTTATTATCTTCAAGGTACAGCTGGAGCTTTAGTCAACAAGCATGTTTATCTATTATGGATGTTACAGGGAGAGGCCGTCATGTCACTCTACACATACAGTGCAGCTCAAGTTGCTTATTAAAAAATACAGGCTTATTGGTTCTGCGTTTGCTGTCATGTGGTCGGATTAGTGGCTAAACATTACTGAAGGGGGTGGTGGTGCTGCTGTAGCTAACTTGAACTTTGTTTTTTATTCTGGTGGAGTAAAAGCTTCTAAGAACATAATGAGCACAGATCAGAGGAGGACACTGAAGTATCTAATGACCTGACTTGACCGTGTCTTTGGTATTAATATGATAAATCATCTTTGTTATAGTTGTTTTCTTTCTTTTGACCTCATTTGTAATTAATAAACATACTAATATGCAAAACAAAACCCGGGTCATCATATGATTACTTCTGATTACTTCTTACCTATAAAATTAAACGAACTTCAATTTATATTTTATGCAAATAATGTGTATAACTAGGCTTGGAACTAAATATAATTAATTATAACGCAAATGAAAAACAGAGGAATTCATAGTAGAGGGCATTTTTATGTCACTGCATTTTTCATTTTAATGCATTTTTACCACCAAGTGCCCCAAATTTCTGACACTGACAGACTGTCAGCTGCATTATTGTGACTGAAAGTTATTAAAAACGTTCTGGCATATCAAATGGGGTAGTTATAAAAATTAAACAAAAGACTGACCAACATATTTACTTCTACTTTTCACTCTTTCTACTAGGTCACATATTATTGACAATAGAACATTCATTATCGAGCTCCTGTTGCAAGCGCGAGGAAGTCTTCTCGTATTCTGATTGGGTCAAACGACATTCTACACCGCCTGACTGACCAATGAGCGATGACATCGGGACGGCGTCCAAGCGTTTAAAGGACTAACAACAATACGACTGAGCACGCCAACAAAAATACACATTTAACGTCCAATCATCTACAAGAAGCGCTTGAGTTGAGATAAGGCTAACTGGCCAAGTGCCCCGTCCAGCTGGCGTAGCCTACACGTTTCACCGCTGAGGTACTGATATTACTGGAATCTGTGCTGTCGAGCCGACGGTGACAAATTGTGTATTGATTACTGAACTGCGTTTAACTTGCAAAAAGACTGCGTACGAGGAATTACCTTTACGTGAGGCAAACATGACATTTAAAGGGATAGTTCCCCTAAAATAAATTATGTCATCTCATCCGCATGCTGACTTTCTTTCTTTCACAGAACACAAAAGGAAATGTTAGTGACTGACAGCCTCAAGTCCCCATTCACTTACATTGCATGTTTGGTTTTTTTTCAACAATGAAAGTGAATGAGGACTGAGGCTGCCATTCTATAGAACATCTTCCTTTTGTGTTCTGCGGAAGAAACAAAGTCATAGAGGTTTGTAACAACATAAATAGTGATTTAAAAACATCATTTGGATTTAATCTGTCAAGCAATTTCCATAGGCCTATTTAAGTTAATCAATTCAAGAAGCAATTATAAACTTAACCTTAAACACCACATATAGAGACAATACTAGGTTACATACGCTTTTTTTTTTTAGTTCAATAAACCTTTGCAGTAAATTGAGGCGTTACTCTCGAATATGAGTCAAATAAAATATTTGACAGGTTAATGAAAAGGCAGCAATCGCAAAGGCTATTTAAATGACTAAATGCTACTCAAGGTTTATAGTTCATAAGATCGAGCTTGAGCCTTGAGCCCCTCTCAGACCGCAAGATCCCCGTGAGTGTTATGAGTAAAAGAAACAATTATCATCTTCGGTTTAAAATAATCATCATTATAATAAGTAATGCAGTGTTTAGCATTAAGACAGTGCCATGTTACATTTCGTATCATTTACCAGAAGAAATAAAGCGGCGACTTTGAATCTAAAGTGGAAAACAGGAGATTTCGTAAAGCCAATTCCAACTGGCTTAACGAAAAAAATAATAACACGACTGACATTTTCTTTTATTTTGTAACTGCTTAGAAAAAAAAAATAAGCAAAACTAAATAAAACGAACTTTAACGGAACAGTAAAAACTGGATGTGTCCGATTTCCTCCTGTTACTATCTGTCCTAGTAAAACAGCATATGGCACTTAAAGCGACGGATTCTGGTTAAATAAATCAACACTTTACAAACAACTAACGGAAGGAAATGTTTTGAAGTTCTGAACTTTTCTTTCTGTTCCATTGAGGTCAGTGGAGCAAATAAACACGAAATAAAACTAAATGCGTTACCTTGAGATTCTTATAAGCCTCCAGCGTCCGGATGGCCGTGTCGGTTAGCTTGACGTGAAAGATGGTTTTATTGGGAATGCTTTTATTAATCTTTCCACAGGAGAGTCCATACCGATGCTCCTGTCTCAACGCTGCCATGTCTGGAACTGAGGTGAACTAGCGACATTCTAGTTCAAGCGTCACTCTCCGCTGGGCGGGGTTACGAGAGAGCGTTGTGGGGACGTCATAGACACACACACGCACACACACACGCACGTACGCACAAACGATAATCATATGTATTTCAGAATTAGACATAGTGGTCTAACTCAGCTTATTAGGATGATAAAGTTCGATTTAGTGTATTTGACAAGGAATGTAATAAAGAAAAAAACATTCCTAGTTCTACTGTACAGCCTGTACTGAGAATATTAAACATGACTTTTACTCATAAGTTGTGTATATCACAAAAAAATAAAAAATAAATCAGTTTAAGACATATCCCATGAGCTGCCCGGTCTCCAAATATGTGGATGTGCACCCGCACCTGAAGTAAAGAAAGTAAAGATACATTAACATTAATCCATGTTCTTGCAGTGCTATATGACCCAGCAAAAACAAAAACAAAAAAAACTAACTTGGTTAAGAAATTTAACTGACAAAATGATTTGGCAAAAAAAAAAGTACAGAAAAACTAAATTAATTAATTTATCATTATTATTATTAAATATCATAATATATATTCTCCAGAGCAGTACTCACCAAGTTTTGTGCATGTGTCATGCATCTTTGTGTGACACAATTTGCCATGTTTCATTGCATTATTACAAATAAAACAAGTATGCATGTACATTAGTTTTACACTCCAAGCACAACTTCACACAATGCTTACAACATTTTTAATAATAAAATGTTTGAATAGAGGGCAAAGATATCTATTTTTATAGGCCGGACATTATATTTGGCCACTACTGTATATAGAGAAGTTCTTAAATTCACGGCCCACTCAACCCCACTTATTAATTCAAATAGACTAACTTCTTAAATACCTGTGAAGGTACACAGTCTTCTTATATACAAATAAATGTAACTTGTAAATCAATTACAGTATATAAATATTACCAGAATTAAATTATACCTGGGCATTGAAGTCATCCAAAAAATCTCAATTTCATGTATGAACAAAACTCTGCATGTTAAATCAGCTTTTCCGCCTGCAAACCTAATAAAATATTCTCTTGAAACCAGTCAGTTGAAAAACAACAGTTATCAGTCAAAGATAAAACAAACAAATATGGGTATGTCTGAGAGAAATTCATTGCAGCGGCAAATACAAATCTTGGGAATTACATGGTATTAAAGAAATGTTCTGTGAACAAAATGATGAGGAAAAGCTCAGACTGTCATTTTAAACTAGATTAAAATGTGCATACAGAAAAATGATTCACTTAATCTAGCCAGGCAATCATCTGCACCCTTTAAGCTTACAAACAGATGAGGTGAAATGGACAGTGAGGGGGAAAATACAGAATTTAGGTTAATTGGAAAGACATAATCCCCAACAGACAAGGTGCTTGGGCCTTTGGATTAAGGAGCTCTCTCGTAGTCTCTAATGGAAACTCTACTTGCCATATGGCTGTCTGAGATACAGGGACATCTGAAGCCGGCTGGACAAACAATATATGTTACCTCAGATTGTGGTTTATAAAAAATGCCGCTGACTCTCTGATTGCTTTGGAATATTATTCCATGAGCTTCAATGTTCTGTGTAAATTTACATTAAATATACAGACATGTACAAGCACTTGCCAAACAGATCCATACCTTAAGTGTCACAGTCTTAGGAATGGATCTAA